TGGGACTACATGTACTAATCATGCCTGGCTAATTTTTAAATTTTTTGTAGAGACGAAGTCTCACTCTGCTGTCCAGGCTGTGATCTGTGTTTAAAGAGGAAGATAAGTATAGTAATCAAGAGTGTGCAGAATTGGCATAAGAATGGGCATAGGGATGAATGGAACAGAATATGAAGTCCAGAAATAGACCTACACTAATCAGTCAGTTGATTTTTAATTAAAGTGCCAAGACATTTCAAAGGAGAAAGTGTAGTCCTTTCAACAAATGATGCCTAAAAAACTGGTTAACCCTAAGTAAAAACTGAATTTTGACTATTACCTCACTCTATATACAAATATTAATGTGAATTAGATCATTGAAGCTGGACCGGTTTTAAAAATGTGGTACATATACACAATGGAATATTATGCAGTCATAAAAAGGACAAATATATGGACTTCACAGCAACTTGGATGGATTTGGAGTTGATCATACTCAGTGATCTATCACGGAAAAAAAGAACAGAATGCCATATGTTCTCACTCATGAGCGAAGCTTGAACAATTATAATACTGTAAGAAGCTATCAGCAGTAATGGGAAACTGTCGGGGGCGGGTGTGGGATTGGCATTAAAGGGAAACTGCTAGGGGAGGGAGGGGCATACCTCATCAACAAGGGTACCTGCATAATCAATGTTTGTATACCTAACCCTGAATTATACCCCACATCTCTATAATTTAAAAAAAAGGATAATGGTTCCTTCTCAAACCCTTTATTATTGTGAAAATACCATGGCAGTATCAGAATGTATTTCTTTTTGGCTCTTCAAATGACTTTGGAAATTTCACAACACTGAACCATAACCTTGGCTTTTTTCTTCTCCTTTATTATTTTAAGTTACCTATTCTTGGCAAATTTGCAAAATGTAACCAACAATGTTGTTAACTAGATTTTAAAGTTTCCAGAGATTAATCGCCTATTAATGCAAGCCCCGGTTTCGGTGTTTTAAGAGAATGATGAAAGTACAAAAGTATTACCTTTAGCGCTAATTTAAAATTCATTGATCTTATCAACCTAAGTAGCACAGAAATGGTAAATCAAACACTGCATGTTCTCACTTACAAGTGGGAGCTAAACTAAGGATCTGAAAAGATATTGAGAATGGTGTAATAGATGTTGGAGACTCAGAAGGGGGAGGGAGGAAAAATCACCTAATGGGTACAATGTGCACAGGTGGGGGTGGTGGATACACTTAAAGTTCAGACTTCTTTGTCATTATACAATGCATCCATGTAACCAAAAACCATATGTACTCCTAAAGCTATTGAAATAAAAAATTCAAACTAAGGAAAAAATAATAAGAGTTAAAACTACTAAATTTTTAGGAAAAAGGTAGAATAAAAACCTTCATGAACTTGAGGTAGGCATCAATTTCTTAAAGAGGACAGAAAAAGCGTAAACTATAGAAATAAATAAAAGAATAGACTTTACCAAAATTAGAAACCTGTGCTCTTCAAATGATATTAGTAAGTAAATAAGTAGATAAGAAACACACTGGATGCAAATATTTGTGATGCGTATATCTAATAAAGAACCATATATATATTTAATAAAGAATCTAATTTGAATACAAAATTTGTAAAGATATGTTGCATTTCAATAATTAAAACAACAAACCCAATGAGAAACAGGCAAAATGTCTGAGCATACACTTCTCAAAGGAAGACATGTAAATAGCCACCAGGAAGATGAAAAAGTGTTCAACATTATTCATCATCAATGAAAGGTAAATAAAACCATAATAAGATCACATACACAAAATCAAATGGCCAACATTTTAAAAATCTGACATCAATATTGGTGAGAATGTGGAACTCATACATCACTGGTGAATATATAAAGTGATTTAATCAGTGAAAATATTAAATATATACTTGTAATTTGACTTATCATCCAACTTAACTTTACTTTTCAGTGTCTCCTCAAGAGAATTTAAATTATGCCCAACAAATATTTACAAATGAATCCATATAGCAGCTTTATTAATAATCTCTCCAAACTGAAAACAACAGATGATAAATTATGGCATATTTATACAATAGACTACCATTTAGACAAATTAATTACTGATATATACAAAGACATAAAAATATCAAAACATTAGTATGACAAAAGAAGACAGACACAAAAGAATATATACTACATGATCTCATTCATAGGAAACTGTAAATTTAGAGACAAATCTAGTCCTTAATGAGAGAGAGTAGATCAGTGGTTGAGGCAAATTACTTCTCAATAAAGTTTTTAAAAGTAGGCAAAAAGTCAAATTACAAATTAAAAACAAAAGAGAAGGCCGGACCCAGTGACTCAGCCTGTAATCCCAGCACTTTGGGAGGCTGAGGCAAGAGGATTGCCTGAACCCGCGGTTCGAGAACCGCCTGGGCAACTTGGCAAGACCTTGTCTCTACAATAAATCAAAAATCAGCCGGGCGTGGTAGCACGCACCTCTGGTTACAGCTACTTGGAAGGCTAAAGCGGAAGGTTCACCAGAGCCCAGCAGGTCATGGCTGCGATGGCCGGGAGCGAGCCACTGCACTCCAGCCTGGGTGACAGAATGAAACTCCAACTCAAAAAAAAAAAAAGAGAAATTTATTTCTAAAATACCATGACAAAGTAGCTGGTACAGATTTAACTTCCTTATAAATGTAGAAAATGTAGAAAAGTGTAAAAAAATGTATCATTTTTATAGTGTGCCATAAAAAATTACTAAAGAAAATTTTTAAATTGAATAAAATGATACCAGATGGCAGCATGTAAATGTAAAACATAAAAAGCACTGGAAATGGTAAACATAGAAGACAGTTCACTGTTTAAAACCCCAATTGTAATATCCTACTAAGTTTATAACATACCTAGAAATTAAATATAGGATAACAATATTTTTTTAAATGCATGAAGCAGTAGCATAGAGTGAAATGGATGTAAGATTTTGGATTATTCAAGATATAGTATGTTGAGACATCTACACTATCATATTCATCTCAGCATTATTAATAGCCAAGATATGGGAACAACTTAAGTGTCTATCAATAGATGGAAGAATAAAGAGAATGTGGTACATATGTACAATGAAATACTAGTAAGCCTTTTTTTAAAAAGGAAATTTTATTTGCAGCAATTTGGATGAACCTGGCTAAATGAAACAAGCCAGATCCAGAAAGACAAATACCACTTGATCTCACTTATATATGAAATCTTAAAAAAACCCTCAAACTCATAATAAGAGAATAGAATAGCAGTTGCCAGGGACTGGGGGTCAGAGAAAAACAGAAGATATTGGTCACAGAGTACAAACTTGCATTATGCAAGATGAATACGTTCTGGAGACCTATTGTACAGCAGGTTTATTACAGTTAATAAGAATGTACTATATACTTAAGACTTTTGCTAAGAGGGTAGGATCAAATGTTCTCAATGCACACCCATAAAAAGGTAACTATATGAAATTATAGATATTTTAATAACTTTTTAAATAGTAATCGATTCAACCCCATAAATACACATGATTTTTCTTTGTCAAGTATGTCAATAAAGTTGGAAAAAAATGAATGAAATTATTATGTAAGTAGTTAGGGAGTCATTGAAATAATTTGTAAAGAGAATGATTCTCGGAATAAGGTCATCTGTCTGGTAACCCCAGATTTGATTTTGAAAACTTTTACTATGATATTTTTATAAATCAACATCACTCAAGGCACTTTTGCTCTTATTAACTAATTTAGTCCTTATAACAACATTTTGAAAGAGGATTTTTTACAAGTGGGAAACTAAAGTATAGAACACAAAATGTTTTCTAAACTTATTTGAACATGTTTGTGTTTTGGTTGCATGCAATTCTAACACTTCTATTCCATTATATACAGATGCTCACAAGTATGGGTTATGTATGGGATATGTACCTGTGTATTAAGTTCTTTAGAATGTTTTGTCTGTGCCAGGCCTTATCGTTCTAATTTGTGAAAGAAATACGTTGAAATGCCGTAACAAGTTACCTAATTATATTTTCATTTTTCTGCTTTCTAAACAGAAAACACCCTGTAGTATGGGGCATCCCTGTCCTGGAGCAGGCTATAGTTTAGAGTAGCTGAATTTCCAAGGCTTTCATGTGGGGGCAGAGGAGATATCTGGATAACCAAACAGCATTATCTTTAGAAAAAAGATGACATACAGCCCTGTTCTGTGTTAAATCTGAGCATCTGGTTAGGTAATACAGGAAATTCAGGCTCAGAGTATGTGATGGAGACTAAGAGTTATCTGCTGTTAACTTCATCCAGAAGCCATTCACCAACCTAAAAATCTGCAGGGATCTTGCAAGATGGCAATGGCTCCCAGCTACTGAAAAGAAAACATGAACACCAGAGCTTATCCTGGCAGTCCTGCAGAGATCAAAGCTTGCTTGGAAGAAGATTAGGTCTTTTCCCAGACAGGAAGACTGAGAGGAGAGTTAACCATCTTGGGACCCACTCTAACACACGTACACACACACACACACACACACACACACACACACACACACACGCACACACACACAGTTGTTTAATGAGTTAAGAAGGCATTTTTATAGCTGCAGCCATGAGTAAATGACCTCTAGTATTTGATGCTACCCTTGAACAATATCTTCATGATTGCAAATTCCCAAGTTTGTGTGCACAAGAAATAACAAAAATGAAAGCATATTATCTACTTAAATATATGAATAACTCAACCCACTGTACCCTCAAATTAGAATATGTATTTCCTTAAAAGGGAAAACGAAATCTATCGCAAAGAAATGTCTATTGCAACTTCAAAAATTACAACTGTGACTTTAAATTTTCTAGAAATCTCTATGAAAGAAAAATTTCTGAGTAGGTGGTTTTTAGTACTTATGACACGGAGGATTATACATGCAATAAGTTTCCTGTTGATAATTAAATTTTATTACTACTTTGGAAGATTGAGCATATTTACTCCCTAGTGTTTATTCTCTCTGAAAATGTGCTACTTTGTCTTTAAGCTTCAACAGAGCTTTCTTCACCTCCTTGTTCCTCAGGGTGTATACAATGGGGTTGAGAAGAGGAGTCAGCACACTGTAGAAAACTGCCACAATCCCATCTACAGCATCCCTGGAGCTTGGTCTCAGGTAAATGAAAAGACCAGGGCCAAAGAAGCAAAGGACCACGATACAGTGGGAGGCACAGGTCTGAAGGGCTCTGTGTCTCCCCTCTGAGGTGCGGATCCTCAGGATGGACCAGACAATGGACACATAGGACAACACTATCAGGAAAAAGCAGCCTGAGGCCACTATTCCAACACTCACAAAGATGACCATCTCAACGGCTGAGGTGTCTGCACAGGCCAGTTTGAGAAGCGGTGGTGCATCACATACATAGTGCTGAATCTGATTAGGTCCACAGTAGGGCAAATGGAATGTCAACATGGTCTGAACCGCAGAGTGCAAAGAACCACTGAGCCAAGTGCCAGTGGCCAGAAGGGCACATGTTCTGCCACTCATCATACTAGAGTACCTGAGTGGGTAACTAATGGCCAGGTGGCGATCATAGGACATGACTGTATAGAGGAAACACTCGGTGCTTCCCAGGAGGTGGAAAGAATAGTGCTGAGCCATGCAGCTGTGGAAAGAGATGGCTCTGCCAGCCTGGGACAGCAGGGTCATCAGCATTTTGGGCACCGTGACAGTGGAGAACCACATGTCAATGAAGGACAGGTTGGTGAGGAAGTAGTACATGGGGGTGTGGAGGTGAGAGTCTATCCAGATCACCAGCAGGATGAGGAGATTTCCTACCACAGTGAGCACATAAACTGTCAGGAAGATTCCAAAGAGAGGGATGCCCAGGGCTGGAGCATGAGGAAAACCCCTGAGGATGAATGTTGCCACAAAGCTTGTGTTGGACATTTCTTCTCACCCTTGATCTCTGTCACTGTGGGAATATAAACAACACCCAGTACTGAGAAGTTAATTAAGAGCTGAGGTCCGTTTGTTATGCAACAGCTTCATCAAACATGGTGGATAATTCTAGCGTTACAAAGCTCCTTTGGTAATGGTGATGCTGAAATGATTTCAAGTGTCTGTCTAACACAAAGACACACACACATAAATAGAGATAGATATATATGCAAAGCAGGAAAAACACACTGTATCAGATTTCCAATGGTGCATTAAAAATTGCCACAAGCTAAGTGTTATAAAGCATGAAAACTTATTTTCTCGCCCTTTCGGTGGGTCGGGTCAGCTGGGCTGTCTGCTCAAGTTCTTATCAGGTTTTCATCAACATGTCAACTGGGACATCTGGATTCTCTTCCAGGCTTAACGAAGATGTTGACAAGATTCTGTTTTCTCCGGTTATAGGACAAAGGTCCCAGTTTTCTTGCTGGTTGTTGACTGGACATGTCACACTCAGCTTCTTGCTGTCACTGTAGGTGCTAAAATCCTAGTCACCTGTTTGTTTGTTTGTTTTGTTTCTTCAAAACATGACAACTTACCTAAAACTCTCTCCAGTTTTCTATAACAAAATGTTATGCAATACAATATAGTCAAGGGGTTGATATCCCATCTTATTCACAGGTCCCACCCACACTCAAAGAAAGGCTATTAAATAGGGACAGTGTACCAATGTGCAGAATTTTGGAGGCTACCTGGAATTCTACTTACCACATTCTATTTTTCTACATGGTTCATGGGAAATTTTTTAAATAAAACAAGAATTTAATTGTTGGCAGCAATAAATGTTTCAAATGCATAGTCACCCTAAATCATCCTCTAGTTTCTACATCTGTTACTTGGCATTACTAACATGTACATCACTGAAAATTATAAGTATTTTATATGATGTAAAGTACTCAGTATTGTGCTTGGCACAAAATAGGTTTTGATAGAGAGTGAGTGAGTTAGATAGCGAGATCAAGAGTGATAGATAG